TCCTTCTTGTAGTGAGTGGCCCAAAAGTGAACACAGTATTTGAGGTGCGGCCTCACCAGTGCCAAGTACAGGGGCACGATCACTTCCCTACTCCTGCTGGCCACACTATTTCTGATACAGGCCAGGATGCCATTGGCCTTCTTGGCTGCCCGGGCACACTGCCGGCTCATGTTCAGCCGGCTGTCGACCAACAGCCCCAGGTCCTTTTCCGCCAGGCAGCTTTCCAGCCACTCTTCCCCAAGCCTGTAGCGCTGCATGGGGTTGTTGTGGCCAAAGTGCAGGACCCGGCACTTGGCCTTGTTGAAGCTCATACAGTTGGCCTGGGCCCATCGATCCAGCCTGTCCAGGTCCCTCTGCAGAGCCTTCCTACCCTCGAGCAGATCAACACTGCCGCCCAACTTGGTGTCGTCTGCAAACTTACTGAGGGTGCACTCGATCCCCTCATCCAGATCATTGATAAAGATATTAAACAGAACTGGCCCCAATACTGAGCCCTGGGGAACACCGCTCGTGACCGGCCGCCAACTGGATTGAACTCCATTTACCACAACTCTCTGGGCCCGGCCGTCCAGCCAGTTTTTGACCCAGCGCAGAGTACACCTGTCTAAGCCGTGAGCCGCCAGCTTCTCTAGGAGAATGCTGTGGGAGACGGTGTCAAAGGCCTTACTGAAGTCCAGGTAGACCACATCCACAGCCTTTCCCTTGTCCACTAGGCGGGTCACCTGGTCATAGAAGGAGATCAGGTTGGTCAAGCAGGACCTGCCTTCCATAAACCCGTGCTGGCTGGGCCTGATGCCCTGGTTGTCCCGCACCTGCCTTGTGAGCGCCCTCAAGATGATCCGCTCCATGATCTTCCCCGGCACTGAGGTCAGGCTAACAGGCCTGTAGTTCCCCGGATCCTCCTTCCGGCCCTTCTTGTAGATGGGCGTCACATTGGCCAGCCTCCAGTCGTCCGGGACCTCCCCCGTTAACCAGGACTGCTGATAGATGATGGAGAGCAGCTTGGCTAGCTCCTCCGCCAGCTCTCTCAGCACTCTCGGGTGGATCCCATCCGGCCCCATAGACTTGTGAGTATCCAGATGACGTAGCAGGTCGTTGACCGCTTCCTCTTGGATTATGGGGGGTTCATCCTGCTCGCCGTCCCTGTTTTCCAGCTCAGGGGGCCGAGTACCCTGAGGATAACTGGTCTGCCTGTTAAAGACTGAGGCAAAGAAGGCATTAAGTACCTCAGCCTTTTCCTCATCCTCGGTGACAATGTTCCCCCCCGCATCCAATAAAGGATGGAGATTCTCCTTGGCTCTCTTCTTGTCATTAATGTATTTGTAAAAACTTTTTTTGTTGTCTTTAACGACAGCGGCCAGGTTGCGTTCTAGCTGGGCTTTTGCCTTTCTCATTTCCTCTCTGCACGACCTAACGAGATCCCTGTACTCTTCTTGAGTCGCCTGCCCCTTCTTCCACAAGTGATAAACTCTCCTTTTTTTCCTGAGTCCCAGCAAAAGCTCCCCGTTCAGCCAGGCCGGTCGTCTTCTCCGCCCGTTCTTCTTGCGGCGTACAGGGACAGCCTGCTCCTGCGCCTTTAAGACTTCCTTCTTGAAGATCGTCCAGCCTTCCTGGACCCCTTTGCCCTTCAGGATGGTCTCCCAAGGGACTCTCTCAACCAGCGTCCTGAACAGGCCAAAGTCCGCCCTCCGGAAGTCCATGGTAGCAATTTTGCTGCCTCCCCTCCTTACTTCACCGAGAATTGAGAATTCTACCATTTCATGGTCGCTAAGCCCCAGACGGCCTCCGACCACCACATCTCCCACCAGTCCTTCTCTGTTTGTGAACAGCAGGTCGAGCGAGGCACCTCCCCTGGTAGGCTCACTTACCAGCTGTGTCAGGAAGTTGTCTTCCACACACTCCAGGAACCTCCTAGACTGCTTCCTCTCTGCCGTGTTGTATTTCCAGCAGATGTCCGGGAAGTTGAAGTCCCCCACGAGAACAAGGGCCAGCGATCGAGACACCTCTGCCAGCCGCTTGCAGAACGCTTCATCGGCCTCTTCATCCTGGTTGGGTGGTCTATAACAGACTCCCAGCAGGATATCTGCCTCGTTGGCCTTCCCCCTCATCCTTACCCATAAACACTCAACCGTATCATCATCACAGTCGTTGAGCTCTATACAATTGAAACACTCCCTAACATACAGAGCCACCCCACCTCCTCTCCTTCCTCTCCTGTCCCTTCTGAAAAGTCTATAGCCATCCATTGCAGCACTCCAGTCGTGAGAGTCACCCCACCATGTTTCTGTGATGGCGAGTAAGTCATATCTCTCCCGCTGCACAATGGCTTCCAGCTCCTCCTGCTTGCCGCCCATGCTGCGTGCATTGGTGTAGATGCACTTGAGCTGGGCTATCGATTTCACCCCCAGCATCGGCATGCCACCCCTCGGCTCATCTCTAGTGAGCCCGGTTTATAGTACATTTGAGCAAATAGTACATTTGAACACTGATCGGTGTCATAGTCATAAAAGGATTGCTCTTCTGTTATCAAACTGGTAGTGCCCTTGATGGGCTGTCGTCTCCTGTACAGCATTAGGAGAGAGACTTAATGATTCATATTAGAAATTTTTGGAAATGTCTAGTGCGTGTACATTGTGGTTGGTGCCCAGTGCAGATAAACTGTCCATAGGCCAATCTCCAGCGGGAAATGAGATATGCAAAGTTGGTGATAAAACCTCATGCTTTTGGTATGAAGGGAGACCAGCTTTGCAATTCAAGAAATTTTTCACATTTTCCATCTCTAGTAGTGGTGGGAAATGGTGACAGAAGTGAGCTGAATCCTATGACAGATTCTAATTTATGACCTACAAGGTGAGAAAGCTGCAATTCTGTAGCCCTGTCAACCTGTGTAAGCACCACATTTATTTTTATTAACATTATTGCCTCTTTGCTTAAATCCGTGCTTGTTTCACTTTAATAATTCAGGCTTGATAGAGACTATTGCATCCTATTTCAGTACAGAGTAATAACTCATTTTTCAAATTAACGTGTAGAAACATTTATTAACACACTGTGGATGTCAGACTTCTGGGATGAATTGATAAACAGGGATGAAAGATTCAAAGGAGTAAGGGGTATTTTGGTTTTGCCTTTTTTTTTCCCCAATCAGAGCATGACCAAATATCACCTAGTAATTTTTACATATGACAATATATGCTGATCTGTCAGCAAATTCAGTTTCTATATTTGCTGTGCTTCAGTATGAATGTACATTGCTGACTGGCATTGTGTACATATCGTTCAGTAATATAATTTTAATGTTTTACTAATGCTGTGTCCATTAACGATATTGGCCTGTCATAATACGTTCTCATAGTTTGCAACAAACAGAATGGAATTAAGAGAGTTCACAAAGAAATAGGCTTCACTTTTATATTAAATGTAAAATACTGACTTAATTATCATCTTCTTTGTGTTATACTTGGGTTTTTTAATATAATGACACAACAAGTATTACTGTATGTCATATTTATAATTGGATAATACATTGATCTGACTGCCTTCAGGTTCAGAATACTGTAATAATTTCATCTATAGTAGCTACAATTTTGGTCGGCATAATGTTTCAGTAATATTTCTTGCCCAGTTTTTGTAGGGTTCACATTTATTAAGTTTTTCTATTCTCAAATGTTTGACTAGTTGTGGGGTTTTTCTTTAAAAAGTTCTTTTTTTTTTTATTTTGTCTGTTTATTTAATATTTTGATAAGAAATTAATTGGTCCATTTCTTATGGACTATAGAATATTGTGGTGGGTTGACCTGGCTGGCAGGTAAGCCCCCACCCATTTGCTTGCTCACTCATTCCCCAACAGGATGGGGGAGAAAATCAGAAGGGCAGAAGCAAGAAAAACTTGTGAGTTGAGATTAAGACAGTTCAATAAGTGAAGGAAAGAAAGGAAAAAAACACACACCCCCACCCCCCCCACCAAAAAAAACCCAACAAAAAACCAACCCACCACCACCACAACTAACCATCCAACAAAAAAAACCCACAAAAACAAGTGACACAAAGGCAATCACTTGCCACCTCCCATCAGCAGGCTGATGCCCAGCCAGTTTCTGAGCAACAGCTACCATGGAAGAACTGCCCCCACTCCAGTTTTACTGCAGAGCATGATGCTATATGGTATGGAATATGGCTTTGGTCAATTCGAGTCAGCTGTCCCACCTGCGTCCCCTCCCAAACTCTTGCCCACCCCTAGCATATTCCCCGGGGTGGGGTGGGGGACAGTGTGAGAAACAGAGAAAGCCCTGAGGCTGTGCAAGCACTATTCAGCAACAGCTAAAACATTGGTGTGTTATCAACACTGTTTTGATCACATATAGAAAACACAGCACCGTATGGGCTGCTATGAAGAGAATTAACTCGATCCAAGCCAGACCCAGTGCAGTGGAATATATTAACTAAAAACTCTTTTCTGCCCTTCTTTAGTGCATTTTTAATGGCACGCAATTCTAAGTCCCAAGATCAAGTAATAAGGAAATTAGAGGAAACTTTACCAATTCAACACTATATAATTTGTGTAGTATATGTCTTAAGACATATCAATCTACTAGAAATGAGGAATTAAAATGTTATTATTGGAACATTAATATTCTCATTTGTAATGTTCAGACTTCAATTATGGATTGGCTTATGGATAAATTGGATTATGTTTGCATTTAATTTCCTTATACCTGTAAAGAGAGAAATGAGGGTTAAAGAAATTGAGGAAACATTGCAGTTTTATATCTACAGTGGGATAGTGCTATTTTACTTTCATTTGGTAAAAGGTGCTTTTCTGCAAAAAAGCAGAAATGTTTCATAACTGAAAAAAAGGTTAGCCAGTTTTCCTCAAACTTTGTGAAATAAAACTAATGTTCAGAAAGGAATGAGGTGCAAAAATGTCAGCCCAGATACAATTTTTTTTTTTTCGCTAAAATTGTCAGCAGAGTAATGTTTGTAGTAGCAACCGTTATGCAAATTTAATCACAGTAGGCTGTAGTAGGTGTTCAGTAAAGCATCTGTTGAGTTAGAAGTTTTCAGCTTGTTTAGTGTAAGGGACTAAATTTCAGAAGAAAAACTTGCTACTTAATTTCCAAAGTCAAGGTGCTAAATCAGAAGTATTCAGCTAAGTAGGATGTTGTATTAGGAAAGCATTGATTTAAGGGTAAAGAATCTGCCTTTCTGTAATAAATATTTAAAGGGACTGTTTTGTGCAATATCTGTTCAAGATAAATTGACTTTATTTAATATCTAACTGCAAAAGGAGTCAAGGGAGTAGGGTTGCTGAGATCAGTGTAGTTTAGGCAGATATTTGTATTTCACAATATAATTTATTTCCTCCTTCTATCTCTTAAAAAACTCTGTCTTTCTAAAATGCCATGGAAAGTTTATAATGGAATTATATTTTCAACAAAGATTTTAAAATAGAAGAGTGCAATAATGTTTGCTTTCTTTAGCAACATTTAAGTAAGAAACTTCAGTGGAAATTACGCTCCCTATTTCTTATGTAACTGTAATTTATATTACATCAATATTAATAAATGAAGTTTATTATTGCACAAACATAACTTATGAAGTCAGTTGTAATATGAATGTGTTCGAAATTATACACACACATAAATATTTTCAGATTTAGGGCTGCAGATACAGTATGGTTACTGTTGAATTTTACACTTAAGTGTATGTTTATATACTTCTAACCTGAGAACTAACATGGCCAATCAATTTCTTCTTGGAATACAGTTACTATTTAAAATAAAACAAAACCCCAAAGCCTTAAACAGTGTGTGGAAGAGTGTGCTGGAGAATGCTTATTGGTGTAGATAATATAAAATTATATTAAAAAAATGAGTGAACATGGAAAAAGAGAAGAAAAATTGATAGTTGTCTTGACTCAATAGGGTGTTCCCAACCTCCTGCTTTAAAGTTGATTGTACTTACTTAAATAATCCAGACATATTAAAGAAGGTGAATAAAAAGGATTAATTTATGACTACAGAGTAAAACTCATCTAATTTTCTGTAAACATTCTGAAATGCTAACTCTATTAATAAACTTCCTAAATAAAAGAAATAAAATTAAGTAATATCATATATGAAATGTATTTTAATAATTTTAAAAGATCTGAAAATTCCCAGTAAAATTATTTGACATTATACTACAATGTATTATGTTACATATTTTACATTTTAAAAATGTCTGATCTGCAGTATGTGTTTTAATATCAGATTTGGAGTAGCATTGTCAGTTTATTTTTGGTAAAGTATGGGATTAGTCAATTGTCCTTATTAACATTTTAAATAATGAAAATATAGATCATATAAAACTATACTCAAGTAGCTAAGTGTTTGTTCTTTTTTTCATGAAATGCCAATATATTCAAAATTAGATCATTTAGGCCTCATAGACAGCAAACTCTGGGCAATTTCTTGCAGGACCCTTCTATGTCATAATATTAAACTAAAGAGTAGATCGTTAGCTGATGCATACTGTTTTTTTTCTATTGCAAAAAAGTTTTAAATTGCGTTAATAGATTTAAATCATAGCATGCAGAGTGGTGTCCTAAAAAATAGTATGAATGTTCTATTTTACTGATGTTCTCGCGATTAAATTAATTTTCAGCTGATTCAACAGGAACTCATTCCCTCTATACTACCTATAAAGATTATGAGTTAATGTTTCATGTATCAACAATGCTTCCATACATGCCCAGCAACAGGCAACAGGTATGTTTTTTAACTTTTCATTGTAATTTTACATTATAAATGTTTGACATTGAGGGTTTTTTTTAAAGTAATACTGATTTAAAACTGAATTGTTTTATATGAAGTATGACAATTTTTTTTTTTCTTGAAATATTATAAGGCATTAGAAATCTCATAGGATTTTTATACTATATAATTCAGGAACTTATCCTATCTTCCCCATTTCATGATATTATTAAAAGGTAATGTTGCCTGTGGTGAATGAGTTATTTTCAGTTTGGACTGGATTCAGATCTTATGTACGTTTTAAACATTGAATGGAATGAAGCTTGAAAATAGTCTTATGGTTAAAATATTCATGTAATAAGATTTTTAAAACTATTCCACTTAATCCTTATATTACAGATCTTGAAAAGTTTATTAATGTGTCAGCTTAGTAATAAATGCTTAACTATATCCTTCAAGGTGTCTGCTTGTGAAGACAGAAAACTGCAGTGTACTTATTTTATTTCTGGAGAATTCCCTTTGCTTATGTAATAATTCAGAATATCTTTAAAGCATTAAGGATGGCTAAAAAACAGCACAGCATCTAAAGTGTGCGATGCACCAGTAAGGTTACTCTGTCTTGCCTGTCTTGGATATTTCTTGTGACTGAATTAAAAATTACAAGCACATTTGGTATAATATATCAACATTAACTCTTAAAAAAAAAAAAGCAGAACAATTGCTCATAGGTCAGGCTGATGATAGTTCATAACCTTCTGTGCTGCTACTCTGCATTTTTCTAGGTCTGCAGAAATAAGTGTTGAATTTATTTAGTTAGTTTTAGAATATTCTCTCATTGCCATGCAAGATACAGATTTCAGTCATTTTGGAGGGTTGTCATGAAATAAAGATGCTATCTCACTTTCTTTTTGAACAGCATACAAAAGATGGTTACTGATTGTTAAACCATATGTGAGTTGTAGCTTTCATGTCTACCCTAGCAATAGGTCTTGTGGGAAGAAAGAGATGTGTCAAGACAGCAAGAAAAAGATAAAAGAAAACAATTAAAATTCTTGAGAAAGGATAAATGAAAATCGAAATGGAAGAAAGTATATGATGTATTTATGTATTTTAAATAGCCAGTGCATAATGTTCTGAACTGTTTGAAGAACCATTTCAAGTGAACAGTTAACTGCAAATTTTACTCCATTACACTTAGATTTGGTTTAAAGAAACTAAATTAGGAATCAAAAGACAGAAACTCTTCACCATATGAATAATATGAATGTTTAGATGACTCGCATCTTAAAATGTGTGGCTTTCAGAAGACAGAATGTTCAGCTATATCACACACTCAACTGTGCCAGCAGCTAGTAATCAAGGTATCGGATCTTCATCACTGATTTGAGATTGCTCCACTTCTCTAAACTGTCACTTACACCTTATTACAGTACAGGATTAATTTAGTAAACACATTAGGAGTTGTTCTGACTGTAATCAGTCATAACAATCTTTGACTGGAAAGCATACGTAAATAGGGAAAACTGTACACTATTAAGAAGATATAATACACTGAATGAGCTTGCCTTAAAAGGAAGAAATTAATATTTTCATAGCTAATCACAGGCACTGACAGTAAATATGGCCTTACTTGGAGTTTATTACTTTTGTTGTCTTTCATGACTTTCCCTTGTTTGTGAGAACAGGATATCCTCTTGCCACAATCCACTAATATTCATAATTGTTTGCTGTTTGTCAGCTTCACTGCTGTGTTGCTCAGCCACATTACTGTCCTTTCACTTCTTCCTGTGCCTTCCTTTCATTCTCATAATTTCCTTATATGTCTTTCTTTATAGTCAAGTGCCAATTCTTGTGTATAGCAAAATCTTCCAATTTTAACTCCATGGTTTTCCCCAGCAGCAAGTACTCCTTTCCACAGTGTTTTCGTAAGCTCTCACCGTTGTCACTTTAACAGGTTCAATATTTAGTAGAAGCACCATGCTGTTATTCATGGCTTTCTTGAGATCAAAATAATGTGGCAGTTTTCCAAGTTCCAGTAGTATGCCTATCTGAAGACGCACCACATTATTTTTTTAGGTGCCGGGATCTAGCAGTATTTGCACAGCATGGACACTGTCTTAATGAAATGTGACAAGCACATCTAAATGACCAAAATTTAGCCAGCCTTAATGTGCAAAAGGGATCTATAATCATTGTTTAATTTTCTTCTATGACTGTTTAGTTCCAAAATACATAGTGAAGTGTGAAATGTATCAACGGTATTATTCTCATAAGCTGGCATAAAATTCGATTAGGTCTTTTTCCTTGAGACATTTTAAATGCTGAAGGCCACAGATGCAGTTGCATCAGTTGTGCTCAAGACAGAGAGAGACTTACAGGTGCTGTGGAATATGAATGTTTTATGTCTCTTCAGAGTTTGGCTCACTAACTCTACATACCCAAGTAAGGGGAAGTTAGGGACCATGGTAGTTTTCCTTTTAGGTTATGTTAGCAATGAAGACCCCCATTCAATAGTTATTTTTTGCTAGCATATTGTGTATGTACTGGCAATGAGGTTATTGCATCCTATCCCTATGTCCCTTGTTTGGTAATGACTGGGCAAGGTATTGAGTCACTCTTCACCTAGGACTACGACCTTCAGTGAGCAAGCACTGAGCATTGCTTAGATTCCAAATACCTGTGAGCCAAAAGTAGGCCACACCAGAATTGTTTGTTGCTTCTTCCAGGACATAACTACGCCCTGCTTGGTCCCTGATCAGGACATCCCTCTAGTTTTAGAGCCAGCAGGAGATCCAAAGAGCAAGGTAATTTTCACTTTGGCTGCAACATAGGCTGGGAACTTTCAAGTCAGCTGCTCCTTCCCTAGGACAGAAAAGACTACCAGCCCTGGTGTGGCCAGTGTCTTTTCCTTTACTGGCCTTTTCTTCAAATCATAGTTCAAGGCTTTCCCCTTTAAACTTCACCTTTGCGACGTCCCTTTCCAAATCATTCCCTTGCAAGTTTCCCATTCACACATTTGCAGTCTGCTTGTGTACACGTGGTCAGACCTGATTAATCCAAATCAGCTCAAATAATCAGTTTTCACCTGGTTTAATGAAAACTTAAAAATGAAACAGATATGCAATAATGAAATAAACTTGTTAAATTTAAGCTACTGTTAAAATGGTTGGAATAACAAGATGTGGTTATACCAGACTCAGTTTAACCAGATCTGATGAAATGTCTTTTGCCGTTTGTTTCTGGGTTTGGTACTGGTTAAGAACACAAATTGAAAATAAAATTTTTGAAACTGCTTATTTTAGAAATGTACTAAAATAAGTTTGAAGATTTTCTTTTTTGACTCTTAATATTTCATCATTTAATTGAATGAAGAATATAATTCACTGCTATTTCAACAAGAATTCCTTGTTGTTTCGCAGTTTGACTAGGCAATTAAAATTCCACAGAAGTGGGTAGATGTTTATGACTGGGCATAACCTGTAAATATGCTAAGTTTTAAGACTACTTTTCTTCAGAGATGCATATCTGAAAATTAAGAATTAAGTAGGTAAAATATCTAATTTAAAATAGTAACTATTATGTGGTATAAATAATTTTAATCTAATGGATTCTGCTTTTCTAACATACTTTCCTTGCTGGACTCCCCTTTGTGTGTCTTGTATTCTTACATAAAACTTCACTGATTTCCTTTTGGCTGCCTATCGTACTTGATTTGGGTTCATTTTCAAATTCTACTGTGCCAATTTAGACTGACACTAGAACAATGTCAAAGCGTGTTTGATGCCTCCTTACTGTAAGTAATCCTCTGTAATCTATGCACCCTGTTGAGAGTTCCTGTTCTGCTCTGCATTGGCATGAGACTCTTTAGAGTATGTTAGAAAGGCAGATTAAAAAAAAAATTAATAATACAACAACCCCCAAAAAACCCAACCCTGAGCAGACCTCAAAATGGGAGAGGAAGGGGAAACTGAGAACCTGAAAAAAACCTAGGAGGTAAAAGTTGGGAGGAAAATCTAGAATATAGAATGGAAACTAGAAAAGGGTTCCTTATAAATCTTTTTGCTTAGTTCCGGTTTCCTTCAATTCCTTTTTCATTTTCAGTATGCTATCCTTATCTCACATTTCCCAGGGAAGTATGTGTTCCCTCCTTCTTGTCCATTCAATACTTTATTCTTTTCCTGTTCCTTTATCCTATCCAGAGCACTTCTTTCCATCTTCCAGATCACCCCAGTTTACTTCTCTCCCCTTTCCAAGTTCTTTGCATTATGATACTCTGCGCACAGCTACAACTGTGCTTTGCCTTTGCATTGTGTTGAAGTTCACTGACCACTTATGCATGACAGTTTTTTTATAACAGTGTTACACTGATTTTATTTTAAAATGTTGAAGAAGTCACAAGATCTCTGCAAGCTTGGTAAGGTTCTTAAAAATGATGACCTGACTTCCTATTTCCTATTTTTGTGCCTCTTAGAGGTTTAAGCTCTTGAAAAATAGTTCAGGGATAGGATATGGGAACTGCCATAATTTTGAAAAGAGTATTTTTGCTAGTAAAATTTCAAACATTTCTAAAACTTACCTCTTAAGTGACTGCTATTCTTGCTTAAGCAACCTATGACGGCAAGCGGAACCGCCTAAAGAGGTCTACAAAAGCAGAAAATATTCTTGAAAACAGTGATTGTCTTGAGAAATGAATATAACTTTAAACAGGATGTTGCTTTCTAATTTTTGTAATTTTGCTCTGTGGAAATGTATAGGCATAGGCATGAACCACTGTAGCAAGAAAGAGTAATTGGTCAGTTAGTTATATAACAAAGGCAGAAATGAATCACCTTGTACCTCATAATTGGAAGGTTTCTTACAAATTTAACTGCGGTGTAAATTCCAATCTGCGAGCTAATAATAACCTCTAAACATGAACTTATGCTTCACTACTATGATCTAATTGTATGGTTCACTAGCTCAGCAAATTGAAGTATACCTGACACAGTTCTGTGATCAGTTCCACGTAGTGTACTTCTACTGTAATTGCATACAATGCAACAGGATGGATATCTTAAATTGCTCAAATAGTCAGTTATTTTGATTTTAGTCTTAAAAACCTGAAAACTTGACTGAGCCACATGACTTACACCAAATATTATTTTCTGTTCCTATATCTGTTTTAAAGTTTCATCAGAAGTCTTATTTCTTTAATCTGCATTTGGGATTTTGATTACGTTTAAAATAAGTGTTTTAAAATTGTGGCTTTGGCCCTTCTTACTACCTTTAGAATACCATCCTTTGTGCTATTTTAGGAGATATAATGAAACATACTTATGGGTTGTTTATGAAACATACTTATGGCTTTAGCATGTGTAACTTTGCTCTTTTCGTTGCTAGCTGAAATACTAACTTTTAATGGAACTGAGAAAATACAAGCAAATGCTCTTTTATTAGAAAGATTATGTTCTGTAAAATCAGCTTGATAGAGAAATTTTTACTTGTTCTCTCAAAGTTTTCAAATAAATTTATTCTTGTATTCTTTTTAGTTACGCATGAGCTAAGGTAAAGCTTTAAATGTCTGTATGCTGTTAGTTGACAATGCAAGGTCTTTGGCAGACTTTGGGTGGATATTTAAAATGTAGCACATGCTAGACTACTTTTTTCCATCTGGTAATATATATGGATGTTTTATAAGCAAAGGTATTTAAGAAAAAAGTGTAAAAAATTTGAGAGGTACAATATACTTCCACGAGGAAAGTGAACATCATTTTACAGTGTTCTTTTGTTGGTTTTTTGGTTTTTTTTTTTTGAGAGAGAAGTGATCCCTTATTGGTGGACATGTTTTGTAGTTTTTATTAAGTTTTAGCCTGTAACAATGATTTAGTACTTTAAATTATTCCTTAAATATATTTTGATGATAAAAGCTACCAATTACAAGAATAAGTTTTTAATTAATGAGTTTCTAATAGCTATTGTTTCTCCATGAGTATTCTGTGTCTCAGCTCTGTTCCTCAAGTGTGCAGTTGCTGAAATTTGTGATGAGTATTCATGATAATCTATTTAAAAACAAAATCATAACGTTAAGGACAATGTTTAATAAAAATGCAAAATGGAACAGGAAGGTTTATTGAGAAAGAAAAACAATATTATATTTTTCATATAGAAGCAAATACTACACTGTAAAGAGGGAGCTGATGTGCAGTTCTCTGGATAGTGAGAAATGTCAAGTGATGTAACATTTTTGTATTACTAAAATGATGCACTAAAGTAAGAGAAATATATTTTTCTCATAGAATAAAAGAGAAATGAACAGAAACTATGCAGAACTAGTGTGGGGATGCAAGAGAACTCACTAGTATTTTTGTGAACGTACCCCAATTTCCTTTCCCTATCTTTTTGCAGTTCAGTCCGATATCCTTTATCTGTAGCTATCCAGGATATGATTAATTAAAAGTTATTTCTGAAAAAATAAGCTTCATTTATTTTGTTTTGGATTTTTTTTTCTAATTTGAAGAAATTGTGATCATTTTTTAATAACTAATTTTTCAATGCATGTTTCTTGTCCAGCTACTAAGGAAAAGGCATATAGGAAATGACATAGTTACCATTGTCTTCCAAGAGCCAGGAGCACTTCCCTTTACTCCAAAAAATATTCGTTCCCACTTTCAACATGTATTTGTCATAGTCAAAGTGCATAATCCTTGCACTGAAAATGTGTGCTATAGGTGAGTAGACCCTTATAATTATTTGTTTGTTATTAAGACTACAATGGAACTGCCTCTTCTAACAGTTTTTTGTTTCCTAGAGGTATTATGTGTACAATTTTAAAATTTCTGCTACATTTTCTGTGATATTTAAACCCTAATGTCTCCCTTGCACACATCTAGAGTTACAGAGCACAGTTTGTAGACTTAAATGGGTGTATGCAGAAAACTGTTGCTGATTTATGGGCACAAAATGGGGATGTAACAAGTTAGTGAAAATAAGATTTGCAGACATAGCAAAAGAAATTAATTTAGAATTTGTATTGCACATTTCCTTTTTCAAAGAAAGTGTTTGAAAATAAAGTATTTTAGAAGACTATTAACCTGTGTAAATCCCTGATTATGACAATATGACACCGGGATGAGTCATGGCCTTTAAGCACATGAATGAGGACTTCTGGGGAGTATAAAAACATCTCAAATTTCAGATGACCTTAACTCTCACATTTAAGTCACTGCACCATGAATTCTAGCAAGGTAACCGGGGTGGAAGCGTAGTTCTGAACTAATTGGGAATTGTGCACATAATGATAAGGAGTTGAAGCGTAATGGTGCAGATTTAGCATGTATAAATGTTACTTATTCATTGTTTAGAATGAAATTAAAGTACATCATGAGGTCAGGTCATATTACTGTCTTTTAGCTGTCTCTTAGAATTTAAGCTATCATTTAGAACTTGATTTTGTTTCAGTAGCTCTTTTTAATACATGACATTTCATAAGTTACATTTTTCTTATTGCTAAATGATGTCTGTCTGTCATCCCAAATGTGACTGCATTTCAGTCAAACTACTGGTGGTTGGACATAGTTTGCACAGTATTTTGAAATCCTTTTTCAGTTGAAATACATTATGTAGATATCAATTATAGGTATAATTTTATCAGTGAGAAAATACTCCTATTTCTTTTACATCTTGCTGTGAACTGTCCATATCAAGAATTGCAGGTATTTTGAAATTTTATGAACATAGAGTAGGCAACTTAAACCGGTGCAGAATGCTCCCATTATGGACACATTTGACACTGATACTTTTTCTTTGTCTTCACACTTCACTGTAGCAAAATGTCTGAGGATTAAAATAAATTCTGGTTTCTATTTATGTATTTCTTAGTTTTACGATTATGCAACTGAGTGACAGCTGAAAATGATAGTCAGACTTACATTTAAAAAAAATTAAAAATACTTCTCTCATTTATGTCTCACAAAGCATTTTTATATTTATTCTATTAAAGAAAGGAGACAGTGACACCCTAAGGAGTCATCCTTGATATTTTTTGTGTAAGATACATCCATAATGTCTTTTATATATTTAAAAGAAAAAAGTGATTTTAAACCAGACAACCCAATCAGTTTTCTTTGATGTGACTAAAATGTCTGAAAATTGACATGTCAAAGCTAAACCCGACTGTGTAAATGGACTGCAGAGATCACAGTTCTGCTTATCATCTGATCTTTTTTTCAGGAATTAACATTGTATTTTTTTTCTATTTCCAGTGTTGGTGTTTCACGATCAAAAGATGTACCTCCGTTCGGTCCACCCATTCCCAAAGGAGTAACTTTCCCCAAATCAGCAGTCTTTAGGGACTTCCTTTTAGCCAAAGTTATTAATGCTGAAAATGCGGCACATAAGTCGGAAAAATTTCGAGCCATGGCCACAAGGACACGTCAAGAATACTTGAAAGATCTGGCAGAAAATTTTGTTACCACAGCTACAGTGGATACTTCAGCAAAGTTTAGCTTTATTACTTTAGGGGCAAAAAAAAAGGAAAAAGTGAAACCAAGGAAAGATGCACATCTATTCAGTGTTGGAGCAATTATGTGGAATGTGATTGCACGAGATTTTGGCCAGTCTGCTGACATTGAATGTCTCCTTGGAATCTCCAACGAGTTTATCATGTTGATTGAAAAGGAATCAAAAAACGTTGTGTTTAACTGCTCCTGCAGAGATGTTATTGGATGGACATCTGGATTAATGAGCATCAAAATATTTTATGAAAGAGGAGAATGTATTCTTCTGTCTGCAGCAGATAATTGTACTGAAGACATCAGAGAAATTGTTCAAAGACTTGAAGTAAGTACAGTTTCTAAACTAGAATTCCAAATTTTTTATCAAGTTACTTGTCTACACCTCCTTTGAGATGCAATTAAAAATGTCCTATGTTTGTACTTCAGAGTATTTTCAGTCTTCAGAGACCATTACAAACAATAATCCTCACAACAACATATGAGATAAGGGTTATCAACGCATTTTCAGGGATGAGGAATCTGATACCAATAATCTGATAGACTTGCCCAAGGCCATGGGTGGTTTCAGTGTTGAAATCGGGATTGAAAGGCTAAGCTTTTGTCTTCTCTTGCTGTAGCCTGTTCTCAAATCACACCTTTGTAGGTAGAAATATACCGTAATTTAAAAATATACAAAATCTTAATGTGTAAAATAACTCACTTGGACTTTTTATAATAACTCGTGAATATTAGCAGAAAAATTTGTGTAAGTGTTTCTGCTGATTTGTTCCTCTACACAGAGGAACTGCAGGAAGTAAAAAAAACTAGACCAATTAATGCCAACTTAATATCCAGCTGACCGGATAAAGTTTTTCACACACTTGATGACCCTGTTAGCACAACTGTCCTGTAACTATTTCAAGTCAGTACAAATGAACTGACAGGAAGTCCAAGGTAAAAGTGCTGATGCACCTACTTCATGTGGTTGAATTTTGCCCTTTGATCGTAATTTAAGTGATCTACATGGTATCAGTTTTGTTCGTATTAGAAAGCCCAGTACTGAAAAGAAATCATTATGCTTACCATTTTCACACTGGAACAGTTGGATTGCAGCTGATGTTTTAGGGCTTCTGTAGTTCTGCAGTCACATTTAGCATTGCTCAATATCGTGCTCTAAATAATAACCTTTTTCTTCCAAAGTACAATTAATCTTTCAATAGATGAATGTCTTTAAACTCTTCTTGCCACTGTTATATTATCCTTTTCATTGAGGTCTTCAGTTTCACTTTCCTTAGACAGATACTTCCCTTTGAAAAATAGTGTACACGTAGTTCACTCCTATTAAATATTGCTAAATGAACAATATAAATTGCTTAACAGAGATGGAAAACAAGATTCAAAGTTCTAGTGAAAACCTTTTCTGTCATTAGTGACGACAATTTCTTTTGCTGTTTTTCACTTCTGCGGTTTTACAAAACATGGAAATATCCCAGTTGCTGAGGACAGATCTTTAAAATTCAGTAATTAAAAACACAAAATGAAATGGTGATCTATATTTACTTGAATACTTCCTCTTTTTTATGGTCAGAGTTTGGGTTAAATAATGACAAATTGGCTTTAAGCCTCAAAAATTTAGCATCAGTTACTGCCAAGTTAACCCAAATATTAGCTTCAAGTATCTATTCCAATGAACTCTGGCCGCCTTCTCTCTTTCACTGCCACCTATCCAACTTTCACATTGCTTAAAAGAATTAGCTGTCACTACTTGTTTTAAAACTGTTTTCATCCCTGTTTCAATACCTCATATTTTTCTCCTTTTTCCCTGCTTCTTCCTCTCTTCTGAAAGCTGCATATTAACGTTATTCCCTAGTTGTTTTATGATGTTGAATGCTTTCTAAACAGTCCTTATATACATTTTGATATAGAAGCTCAGAGGTGACCATAACAACCACTAAAAAGTATTTAAAACTCTTGATTCCACACTTCATACGCATCCTTTAAAAACCTTAAGTGACTCAGAACACAGCTAAGGTCAACAACCACATGTGCCAGCAGATGCTAAAGATGAAAGCTCAAACTGTGATGTAATATCGAACTTCAGTGAGCAGATGATTAACCCTTTTCAGTCACTAGTAAAAGCATTTCTTAAAACCAGTGAGTAAAATGTTGCAGTTACTAAATGAGATTGTCAAAGAAATAACTACATTTTATTGCCTGGGTTTAAATCATGCAGATGAATAGGAAACCTATCTGAATATTCAGATAAAGCAAAGATGTGAAAAACTGAAACTGTAATTTTGGTTTGAACCAAAAGAATCAGTTCAGGACTAAAAAAAGAGCTGGAATTTGTCAATCTGGAGTCAGATCTGTATTTGTGGGGGAGAATATCTAGAGATGCAAAGTAGAAAGAGCAGGAAAAGCAAACTATAGATTAACTTGGCAGGCTGTGTTTGAAGGCAGAAATTAACAGAAGTTGTTGCTTCAGCAGTGGTTCTGAGCTTTAGGATAACAGAGAATGGCAGAGTGATACAAGATTAAATGAAAACCCTGTATGGAACTTCAGACAAGAATCTGAGTAGACAGAATTTCCTAAGAAGCCTGTATAGTAAAAAAACTCTTCACCTTCTTCATGGGACTTAGAGGATCTCTGTCTTTTAATTTCATCTGTATTAAGTGCATTTAGAGAAGCCGGCTCTTAATTCATGCACAGCCACATGTTCAGTGAAACGGCAACCAAGTAAGCAGAATGACCTATTTTGAAGTGGAGCAGCACTATGTTTTACGTGCCGCTACTATTTAACATGCAGTGTCACTTTTTAGGGGATATACTTGTGGACGACTTGATCTCCTGGAATCCTTTCCATTTGAAATAGATGAATCTTTGGCAGGAATGTTTGTCTTCCTTCTCTTTTAACCTTTGAATATTTAACTAACTTGAAGAAGAGATTTTGAGTGCTCTGAGTTGGGGAAATCCGTATACTTTGACTGGTGCATTCATTCTGCAGTATTCTATAATTTTGACGTAATGTTAAAGAGGTGTCTGCCCCCGCCAAAAGAATATTGTGTAGTTTCATAAGGATAAAATTCCATCCTTCAGCTGGGCTCCTGACTCTAATAGCATGTTCTTCTTTTCACTGTATGACTAAATATTGTATATATTTTAGAAACTTGTGACAGAAATGTAGGGAGACTGATGAAGAGCTGAAAATTTCATTTTCACTTCTCTAGTTCATAAATTATGAAAGTCTTGTTGGAAATTAGTCGTGACTGAAGATGAACCTCAGAGCTGGGAAAAAAGAGTTAAAGCTTAGTGCTTTCAGCATGCCATATAGCTCTAATACCATATGCACAGTTATAAACACAACAGAAAGTTCTGTTTAAAATGGAAAGCTTCTGAAAGATACCAAAAACTCAGAGCTGAATAACAACAAAGGAAATAGCTGCTTTTTTGATAGGAAGACCCAGAATATGATTTTGTAAACAAAACCTCCAGAGTACATTTTGGACATCTCAAGAATGGCTTTCACATTTTAACTTTGAAGCCTACGTCTTCAGAAATAACTGGAAGGTTTATGAGGTCAAAGTGCTACAGTTTAAGTAGCCTAAATTTGCCAGGCAATGATTCTCAGAATACCAGATCCTTGCAAGATCTTTCTCCGATGTTTCACAGCTCAATGAAGATTAGCCCTTAATGAATGAGGGCTAACTGTATTTCATTTCCTTGAGTTTATCACAGATTAAAAGCACGAGCATGTACCAGCTCTCTCAGATCAGCAAACTTACAGTAACTCATGGTTTTGTGGCACTTTGTTCTCATGTGTGCAAGTTTTAATTTTTTCTGCTGAGTGACAAATATCCATATAGAAATATTCTATGAAGGCAATAGAGCTTTAAAACTTACTATAAAGGCAATAGTGCTTTAAAACTTACTAAGGTACCGAAAACCGTGACTTTCAGTCACTGACCAAGTTGCAGGCATAAGTTACACAAATACTCCGAAGTTTTTCCGGTCAGCCATTGGATTGGGAAGGGCGTGGAAGTTAGGCCTCTCATCCCTGACTCTATAACAGACTTGGACAAAAGATTTGTCTAAACAGGAAGTGTAAACAGGAAGCTACGAAAGTAACTTACAGCTTAATATTTGCTAGGTCTTAAGTTCCTTTGTTGATGATGGAGACGTACTTTCATAATAGTTGCCAGTGAAGGAGACAGTCCCATCCATTCGCTGCCTGCCACCCCTTTGGAACGCTATTTTAAAAAGCACCCTGTTTTTCAGCTGTATCATCTCTCTGATCTGTCTGCATGGCTGCACAACTGCTAATGCGATACAAGGGACAGCATAGTGGTAACAGAGTCTTAGATCAGTTTAAACCTCCCATGAAACTGCACCTAGTCAACTGCCTCTGACTCGGGTAGTGAAAGGAGTGGTTTTGTGACAGCTTTACCCAGTCACTGTGCCAATATCTCACTAGCTGCACAGTCCCACTCCTTCGTCACGCAGTCCTGAATTAGGTTGGGTCATGCTTCTGTGGGAAGCACACAGCAAACTAGTGAGCTAGGCTGCCCAGATTCTGGCTCAAGTAGACAATGGAGGGCGAGAATGACTCTTCCAAAAGAGCTTCCTGAATTAAGCTCAAGCTGTAAAACAACCTTTACAAAGACCTATCCTATACAGCTGACTATACAGGACACTAGCGTCCTAACTTAAGCACCTTGAATTAGATACCTAAAGTTGAGTAATGTGTGTAACTTTGTAATGCATGCTAAAAGCAACCATAAACAGCGTGAACACCTTGTGGAACAAGGTGTGCTGTAGAACTGCTCTTAATGCAGTGTGACTTTGGGAAGATCCCTTGGTCTGTATCGTAACACATGCATCTTTAAAGAGCGGATATTTGCCTTGCTGGAGTGTTATAAAGCATTGTGAGATCTTTGAATGATATGCATTATGAACAAAGATTTTTGATAATGTTTCACAGTGGTTAAGTTTTTGTTCTAATTGTACTAATGGAGCTAAAATACATACTGGGTTTGTGACACTGACAGAAGGGAATGTTAGGGTAACTCGCAAACTTACCTTGTAATGTGGACTAGAATTTGGTCTTCTGAGTCTGGTGCAGTATCTCAGCATACACGCTATTGTATGATTATTTTTTACTGGGCAAAACTGTTGAGGACTTGTTACATAGTATATAGAAATGAGCCTGCTTAGCAAAGTCTGAATTTGAAGGATTTTGGCAACTCTATATAATGACAGAATTACTTTTCATTGAATATGAAGAAAGTAACTTTTTTGTTTCTAAATTTCCCAGTGACATGAAAACTCTTATCTCATTTTAGTGATGTCCACATCTGGAGGTGGTGGTAGTTAGGAATCTGACTATAAGGCAAAATAAATCAAAATTATCTTCATTGCTATGTTCTTGAGGAAGAAAAGCTGCTAGAACTGAAGCATTTCACTCAATTTGGCTCATGTTATATCTCAAGTTTAGTACTGTCTAATACTGAAGAAAAAATGCCTGCACACCTGCAGTCAGTCAGCCAACAAGAATGAAGTAACTGACAGGGCAGCATTTTGCTTGCTTTGTGTTTTGAAACTAAAGCAGCTGTTAAGTTTTCAATAAGATATAAATGTATTGTGTTAATGTTGGGCAAGGGGGAAGGAACTTGACACGGGTCAGCTGCCTGCTCTGGGGATGTAAGATTTTTAGCACTGTGAAATGTTTTGTTCATTTTGTTTTATGCAGAAACCTTCATTTAACCATAAATGTTAAAATAATTATTAGTATATTAAAGATATTTAATATCAAGCCATACATGGCTTTATAGTGTTTGAAAACAGATCTGTTTGTGTGTCCAAAGGAGTGAATGTCCTGCCAATCGTAACGATCTGATACTTCTTTAGATAGTGACCAGAGGATGTGAAACCACAGAAATGACCCTTCGGAGGAATGGGTTGGGCCAGCTTGGATTCCACGTGAACTTTGAAGGGATAGTGGCGGATGTGGAGCCCTTTGGTTTTGCATGGAAGGCAGGCCTACGGCAAGGGAGCCGCCTGGTTGAGATCTGCAAAGTGGCTGTGGCAACTTTGACTCATGAACAAATGATTGACCTTTTACGTACATCAGTGACAGTAAAAGTGGTGATTATTCAACCACATGAGGATGGAGCGCCTAGAAGGTAACGAGCAACAATTCTCAATGTGACATTTATATCTGTTTGTTTGTTTGTTTGTTTTTTCCTCTGCTACTGCTTAAATGATGGCTCTTTTATTTGAGGCCCTCAAGAAATGGATATTGTCTCTAATGTTTGGTGATAATATTATTAAGGCTCTTAAAGCAATCTTTTCCCCAAAACCCCTATTGGCTTGTAATAGAAGATAAAATGGGATCCTGTAAGAAATTTAATGGGAAATTTACTTTTATATGGCTTTGAAAGAATAAGAAGTAAACTTCAGTGCATCATGACTGAACTGTTATGAAAGCTGATGTGACTTCTTTTCTTCCACGGGAGAATTTTGTATTTTAATACTAAATTTGAAAATTGGGAGTCCTTCTCTGAAAACTGTACCTTGTCTGTCTTTGACATTTCTCTGACTCCTGACTATTGAAAAAGATTTGTTTTATTTTTTCTTATGTTGAAATTTTAACAGAAGTAGTGAAATACTGGGTTCTGGACATATATGGTACCAAGTCTTAGAGTTCTCCTCACTTTCTACAGATACGTAATTTAGTAATATTAAATAGTTAATTACATCAATGAAATCATCAGTTAAAGCAAAGAAATCTTGCTGCAACATGAAATAAATGCTCACACACTCAGGAAAAGACTGTAATAAAGATTATTATAGTGACTGTGCCATTGTTTTCAGGGATGAAATGCAATTTTCTTCTGTCAGTGTTCCTTTTTTGGTGACATTTTTTAATATTATGAGGTAGAGAAGAAGTAGGGTAAAATTAAAACATTATAATAATGTAACTTTATTTCTCACATACCTTGTCTAGGCACCGTTAATTTGGCTCATTCTAAATGAGAACTGTACCACAGTAAATTGAATTACTTGTCTTCTTGCAGAAGGCCAACTTTAAATCTCTTGTTGATTTTTAATTTAACAGAAAAAACATTAGATGTGTTGCTTTTGGCAAGACAACAAGCCATAAAATTTTACGTAGCATGCAGCACTATGAAGCTGGTGCCAACTGTACACGAATACTGTGTAATTGGTGGCAATTCTCCAAGTAGTCATTGGCCTGATGAATGACACAGAAGTGCCCTCCCCTGCCTCAACCTGCATGTCAATGTGTTGGGTTCCTTTCTGAAGAAAATGTCTGTGAATGTAGAATACCACCGTTTTGCTTAGTTGGATAGAATTTGCAATTAAGCCTCTCTGTGCTTAGCTTTGCTATTCTCACCATCTGCTTCTGGGTATGAATTTTCACTGAGTTGTTTGGTATACATTTCCAAGCTGTTTACAGAATATGAGCCTAATGAGCCGATCCTATTATATTGAAGGTAAAAACGTGTATTTTATAGGCCCTGATGGAAAAATACATACTGTATGAATTGTTTATATCCTCTTTGATACATTTTTAGAAATAAAATGTTAAAATCCCAAATCAGTGTGATGTATGGCACTCAGTCTATGTGTAGGAGGAGTTTTAACTGAGTGCCACCAAACTGGGAAAAATCTGCAAAAGCTGTTCTTGTTTATAAATTTTTTTGCATTTTTAAAATTGTGTGACTAATTACTAAGGAATGAATTTTTTTTAAAACTGTGTTTCTATTCTAAAATACGAAAAACACCAAAGCATTTATGTTTAAGTTCTTTTCAGCCTCATCTCTCTAGTATAAAAAAGATATCTTCATTAATGCCTCTTTCTCTCAAATATCAACTTCTCACTGAAACAGAAAGCTCCTCATTTTCCCCTTTATATCCCCAAAATATGATTAGTGATTTTGATTGCTCAACTTGAAAGGAGTCCGATATCCGGAGAGTTTTGAGCTTGCCTTTTCTCAATGTTTATAATCTTAAACAGAGCAGACAGAAAGCAATGTAGAAATTAGGTGACAAGACTGAGAGTTTCAGTTGACAAACATGACCTATGACATTGTTTGTAAAATATATTAATGAGCGGGGGAATGAGGAGAAGGCAGGAAGGCATAAATTACCAGAGGTCTGGAGAAAGAAGATAGTCTGTCACAGCTACTTACTAGTTAAAACTTGTGCAAATCCATCTCCCTGTCTCCTACTCAATTGCTTGTCTTAGCCGTCTGCAATGTCTTATCTTGCAGAATCATAGAAACGGAGAATAGTTGAGGTTGGAAGGGACCTCTGAAGATTGCTGAGTCCAACCCCATTGCTCAAAACAAGGTCAACTAGAGCAGACTGCTCAGGGACATGTTCACTGGGTTTTTAATATCTCCAAGGGTGGAGACTCCACAACTTTGGTTCCAGTGTTCCATCATCCTTACAGTAACAAATGTTTTTACTTACACTTAAATGGAATTTCCTGTGTTTCAATTTGTGCACCTTGTCTCCTGTGCTTTCACTGGATACAACTCTGAAGAGTCTTATCTGTCATCTTTTCTCCCCATCACCCCATCAGGTATTTATTTATACACATTGGTAAGATCCCTCCTGAGCCTTCTCTTTCCCAAGCTGAACAATCCCAGAGCTCTCAGCCTCTCCTTGTGTTTCAGATGCTCTGATCCCTTAGTCATCTTTGTAGCCTTTTGCTGGACTTGCTCCAGTATGTTCATGTCTTTCTTGTACTCTGGTATCAGGTTTATCCAGAAATTTACAAGCAGTAGTTTTGGATGTAAAACATGAGTATCTGGAGAACTAGAATCCATTTCACCTTCATTTGACAAGAAATGTCAGTGTCCTTGGAGAATCCATGCGCAGCTATATAGGATAGAATCAGGTCTCTGTGAGTGATTTCCAACACGTATCTGTGAGCAACAGTTAAGGCAGGTGTGCCAGCTCATCAGAAGAGAACTTTTTTACTGTCAAGTAGCTCTAATAATTATCAAATAACACTCAAAACAGACATACAGATATTTCCTTCAAAGTTGGGGGTCCATCAATCCTTGATCCACATGCTGCACATGTCTAGAAGAATGATGGTTCAAAAGCAGGAGAAAGCTTCACATGTATGCTCCAATAATTATTGCTTTCATTCACAGCTGGTTTTAGAGATTTTCTTCTAAGAAATGATACTTCAGTCTATCTGACATATGTAGAACAGTAGATTTGGAGGCTGAAATAAGTACCTTGAAAGTTTGACTCGTCCTACAGCTTCTGGCAGTTGGGGTTTTTTTCTCTGTATTTCAGCCTTATTTCTCAGGGTAGATATTGGTAGTTTATAAAAAAATTTTACTTTAAATGCCATAATCTGGAGTTTCAAGTTCAGCCACTAAGTTTTTGTCCACAGTGCATAGATATAAAAATACATTCATCTTTGTTTCTACAAGAATCAGTTGCATTAAAAATTGACATACATTTACAAGAATATAAATATAATTTTAGCAAAAAAAAAAATCATAGTTTCATGAAAAATCCCCTTGTATCATTTTATTAATGCCTGTCTTTCATTTATTGAGAGAATCAGCTGATATCCACTGCTTGAAAGAGTAGTTTCTGCTTAGCTCTATCTGCTGGGTTTTAGGAATACGAAGCAGTGAGGACTTTCTCTTTAGGTTGCTATTAGAACTGGTTCCTTGCTGGGATCAAATTCTGAAGTGAGTTTACACAGATCGGACATCAGTGCCACGGAGTGTCTTGGGAATTACAGCCTTCAAATGAAAATTAACACCAGTGTGCAAGGGTGTTTCCAAAGCAGTCCCAGTCCCTTGGAAAAATACCAGCTAAAGTGGAGATCTTCAATCAAGTTCTTAACTTGATCTTTTTCTCTGTTAGCTTACCCATAAATCATCTTCAGTCCATAAACCCTTTATATTTTAAAAGAAAACCAACAAAGTATGTGTGCATACACTGAGAATAGTAGCAATGAACTATTAACAACTAATTTATTTTTTGCTGCAAACTGTCTTGTATTAATTTATTTCAGCATGAAAATAAATTATTTGGAATGTTGAAGGTGCTTACAAAGGAATGTTACAGTGATTAGGAAATTACAGAGGAAAATTCTGCTCAAGAAATGCATACCATTACTTAATGTAGATCCTTCTACCTATAGTTTTGATAGCAGTATATGCAAAAGCAATCATGGAATAAGGCCTTTCATTTACTATCCTGTAAAATTAATGAACTTGAGACAAAGCTCCTGCTGTTTTCAGTTTGCTCCATCAATTAAATAATCATGCACAAATTGATAAATCATAATTATTTGCATGACACCAGGCTGATATTTAGATAGAAAGAAGAAATTGCTATTTAAAACATAAATTCTTTAAATTACAAAGCGGTATTAGAACAAACACGCTGGTCAGATCTGAATAAGTATCCTTGTGTCATATTTGTTTCTATGCTATGTCTTTCCCTTCAGAATTGTTGATTTGTTCTTCTGTTGTTGTCAATATTACCTAGTACTGCAGTGCAGTAGCTAGAATTATACACGTTTTAACAGGAGAATAATGATGTTCATTCTAACTTGCTTTCATTGGTGTGTCACAGTAATGCTCAAGGACACCATATCCTTAATCAGTCAAATCCAATCAAGGAATTCAAGTACTTCTAAATCCATTTTAAACTGTAGATTCTGCTAGAATCTTACTACGTTGAAACTTATGTGTCTGTCTTAGTTCAACTCCCATTATATATAAGAAGAAACTGCTTAAGAAACAATTTCTAGAAAGTTTAGATAAAGAACAAAACCTTAAGCAAAATTTCCAGGGATGGATGAGAAACAAACTCATGTACAACCACTGTAGGAGATGTAGCAGCGGTAGTTTCCACCTGTTGGTCTGAACAAGTAACAGACTGTTTTCCTGCTGTTGCAGGTGATTTTGAAAATGGAAATATTTTAGTAACTAGGCCTGAAACTGCCTGTGGGCCGTTACTAAGTACTACTGCATTTCTTTTGAAGTTGTTTTATTCTCTTGAACTTTGCAAACTCTTTCTTACAAATAAAATAGGTGTAATGACTTTCTGTATTTCCCAGTCCTGATGCTTGTTCCTCTTAAATGATTGTGATCTTATTAGACAATTGTGTTTCTAG